TGAAGCTACCATAGCGGGATAATATCTTCTCGCAACAATAGCAAATTTCAAATATAATTTTGTGACTATAGAGTCGTTATTTGTGTCTCAAGGTGCATGTATGGTTGTAAGCCCTTAGATAATTGAACATTAAAGATATAAAACATACAACAATAAAGACCTCATTAATCTTCCGATATATATATAGATAAAAAATAATTTATTTCTCTTTGTATATTTAAAACTTACAAGTTAATATATGAGGACTGTGATTTTATATTTAAATGAAATATATACATTTTTATTAAGTCATAAATAATGAAAGACATAAATAAAACCAAATTTTATTATTTAGTATATTAATTTTAAATATAAGTACAATTATGTATGTGTAGGTGTTTGTATATAATATATATAGAAAACTAACCTTGCACTCTTAGTTCAACACAAATAATTAATATTAAAACTGCCCTTTATATTTGTGTAATCATTTTATACTACTTACAGAATTCGTCTAGATAAATAAAAACTATATAGACACCTACGTAGTCAGTCCATGGAATTCAAATAAAACCTAGTATGTGTTGTAACAAGGAAATATTTTCAACTACTCTCTTCACGATGTACTCAAATGGCTCTCATCAATGGGTATGAGTTTGTTGTGCGACCCCGCGCTCCCGAACCCTACAGAAGCCCAACGAGCCGAATGTAATGACGTCATTTGTCAAACATATTTTACAAGCACCTCGTACGCATACTATCACATTTAATATAGGTATTATACAGCATTAATCACGCAGATACGTGTTGTGTTACATTCTTTAAATAAACACATTTCATACTTATGTACGTAATAACGAAAAAAAGTTAAAAGTAAAACAAAAAATCATAACCTATATTAAAAAATAATGAAAAATTTGTCAGTCACCTATAATAATGTCTAGTCGAAAATAAATGTTGAGTATAAAATATCATATCAAATATCCTCAAAATATATCAATCTCTATATTTCGCCGCTAGTATCAATAATTTTCACAACAAAATTTAAAAAACACGCCATTAAAATGAACAAATATAAAACACAACCTACGGCACTAGAAACACATAAATTAATAGGTACGTTACTTAGCGTTAATGAATTTTGATTCTCCCGGGAATGACTCTCAGTCAATTAAGGAAACAAACATGGATATAGAGTTACTGCAACAGGGATACTAGCAGATATGGAATTGTATAAGTAGTAATGGTAATAAGTAGCATTAGTTAAAAGAAATATAGTACCTTCTTTTTCATACAATTGAATGGGAAAACGGGGTGGAATATACGAGTAAATGAACAACACCACGGAAATCGTGATTACAAAGGTAATCGTTTCTTCGTGTAACACCCTTAAAATATCAAGCATTCACAAAATAAAGAATGTATTTTTGTGTATTTTTCTGTTATATAAGCAGCCTATTATTATCAATTTATGTAATTGAATTGTTTGCTGCTAAAAATTGGTTATTGGTAAGGTACAGTCCCTACACTGCCATTTACGTATGTTCCATTGACGGCGCCGCCAACGCGGAGCCCGTAGCAAATATGTACTATCATGTATGATTCATTTTAAATCTTCAAGTTTGTGTTTAAAATAAAAAATATCAAATCTTTTATTGTAAAGCAAAAAAAAATATATTATTTATTATTTAATTTAATGTAGTTATCTATAGCAATTACAAACAGAGTCAAAGATAACGCCTGTAATATCATAATATTATGGTCAATTGTATACTTTTTTTGATATTCTATTTTCTACAGGCGTTGTTCATTTGCAAACCAAATTTATATTTGTAGGAAGAATATAACATACATTTAAAAATAAACTAAGTTCAATTGATGTGAAATTAGAGTAAAACTAACGCAGATAAACTTTATTTGTTACAAAAAAAAACAACAAAATCTGTATGAAATAACAATCACATTGAGAACATAATTTTTTAAGTCAATGGAAAAGCACTTAAAAGAATGCACGCAAAATTATTGAAATTGCGCATTCTATTTGCGGTAATATCTGTAGAAATAACTGTTTTCAATTGGCTAGATCTGAATTGGTCCCGAAATTAGATAACTATATCTAACGTAATATGCGCTTATATAATTTTAAAGTCACCTAATATTTATTTACATTTATAAGAATTGTATTTTAGAAAATATTATTACAATTATTAGAAATTAATTTTAATTTTAATTATATTATTACTACTATGCATATGTATTATGGTAATTATTTACCAAGTCATTCCGATATTATTCAGTCACTGATTTACTCTTAGGTACTTGTGCTACAATAGTTACATATTCACCATAAGCTTCACATTTATTATCACATTACCACATTATCGCTTTCCAATAATCAATTATTTTTTTATTGATTTCTTTATATCAAGCAACTATCTATACAAATTAGATATGACCATATATTTTGTTCTTTAATTTATTTAAGAATGTACTAACACAGTGTTAATAAACAAATGGAAATTATTATAATATTATGTTTTCAGAAAACAATTTCTGCTTTCAAAGAACTGAAATATCAGTAGCTCTGGCTAAAGTGGGTATTACCGTTGTTCCGTTTCGTTACAGTTGTCGACATGTATTGTTTTAACGAGATGCACTTTTATACGCAAGGTATAACTTTATCAACGGCTACCGTTGCATATTCACTCTGTACCGTATTGATAACGTCATAGGTATACATAGTGGATTGTGACAATTTAGAAATAAATGCGAAAAGTCACGTTTTCAAGAAAGCATGTACAACTGTGACTCAGTACAAGACGTGATGGGATACGTTATTCGAAGTTATAACTGTACTCTGTTTATTCTCCGGTGTATTTATTATGTATATCAATAAGCGAAGCCTAGTTCTACTATTCCTATGATCTATCTTTAGTTGCGACAGTTGCCAATTGCTAGATAGAGTTGCTGTATGCTGTCAAATTTTTAACGGCCCACCTGAAAGTGGCAGCTGTTGGTAACGAAATCACGCTGTTATGTGACATCCGTAGTGTCCTTCATACGTTCTTGAAGGATAAAATGGCATATCTGCATACCAGATTATTTCACTCATAGTCTTCGTAAAAAAATGACAATTTTACATATACACATCGAGTCAAGTCGTTATACATATTATATTATCTGTGGTTATACTATAAAAACATTATCATTACAGTATAAATCTATATTCACAATATTCATATAATTAATATCACTATATGCATTTTTAGCATATTTGGCTAATATTCTAAACTACAACATACATATAGTTTTCTATATTATCGAAAACTATATGTAAGTATGTTGAAATAAACGCGAGTTGCGACAAATTGTATACTGTCAACGTTTTCAGTCCTTTGACGTATCTCTATATTTACAATTCCTGTGTTGAATACACTTGCTGCACTATTCTATGTATTTGACAGAATGCATTTACAATATAAAGTACTACTTAAAACCATTTCGGTCTAAATATTTCGAATACTACTATAGTTATTTTTATTTTAGAGGAACACTTAAGTAATCACAGGTAATAGTAATATTAATAATAAAATCTCCCTAATAAAGTAAACATATGTATAACTATTTTTTGCTTTATTAATAACATTTCTATTTGCAAGATGCACCATACGAACAAAATGGATCAGCTAATTGAATTTCATTACTCATAAAACTAATTACAGGAAACCTTACATTTTATTTTCAACGACAAAAGAACATAAATAAATTTTGTACATTTATTTTCACCATTGCATTTATATGTAAATAAATCTGATCAAGCAATGGTCGCCATAATAAAAAAGAACATCTGATATGAATACATATTATTTTGTTTATCCAATTTTACATTAATAGAAGTGAGAATTTGGTATGAAATTTTCACTAATAATTAATAGTATCAACTGTAATTATTGAATGTCAGCACGAGTCGTCCGACTCTTATTGAAAAGTGGCTCTTACATATCTATTGTACCCCAGATTCGTTGTCAATGCCATTTAAATGAAATATTGAAATATTATGTTTCTTGTATATATTGTACAACTAAATTTAGCCTTCGAATGTCCGGAAACATAACTACCTAGTAATTATACTTAATAGCATAGAATTTAGTCCACTTTGAAGTAGCTTTGTTGAAATACAAGATCTATCTACAGCAACCCATATCACAACCATGACAACTAACATTACATTGTGACAAAAAAAGACATAAGACACTCTATAACAAAAGTGTGGGTAATCGAAGTGTTTATCAAGATATATCAAGACAATATAAACATAAAAGTATTACAAATATATTTTTAGCATAAAAATTTTCATTGTAATGGCAATCATAAACAATTTAAAAAGTTGCGTTCAAACTGACTTGTATGTATTCATAACTTTTCATAATTATTTTGAAGGGAGGGCATAGCAAGATGTATTTTGACACATTTTCTCGACACATTCGCTCGACTTGGGGCGGCCCGAACTGGCGTAGTACCTCCACCAAGCATAATACCACAGCCAAACAGTGCTGTACTTGCACTACACAACAGCACTGTGTTCCTGTGGTGAGTAAGGTGACCAGAGCCCCATAGGGATTGGTTGTGCTGGTATTAGAGGACCTGTGTGTTCAACAGTGCCGCGGGATTGCATAGGCACGACATGGTGGCGCGGCATTCAGGGAGACCCGGTGAAACGGCTAACCGCTGGCCGCCCGCAGATTGTTGGGTTCCCGAACCCAGGGATTACGTAATCTCCGCCCTGTGAGGCTGAGCCACCGCCTGCGCATAATCCCTGGTGTAGTAGTCGTGCCGAAGGAGAAAACCGGAGTGGACCCTGGTGGCTGCTACACTAGTGGGGGAACCGGGGCCCTTCCGGCCGCCGTGCCACCAAATCGCTCAACCTGTGCAATGCTGGGGTGTGTTGACGCACCTTTTTGTCCTTTCTAATACCAGCGCAACCGTTCCCCTTTAAACCTTTAACAAAAACACCCAAAAAAATGACCAGAAGCAAAAGAAGGAAGTTTGGTACATCAGCGGCACCCCAATCCACTTTCAATATGGATTTCTTTAACATCAGGGGACTTCACGAAAACATCAATGCGGTCCACCAACACCTTGAGACCGCCAAGCCGACCCTTTTATTCCTTACGGAGACCCAGATATCCTCTCCGGCTGATACTTCATACCTACTATACCTCGGGTATAAACTCGAGCACAAATTTGTACGTCGTGCCGGGGTATGTTTGTATGTCCCGGGGGATATCTGCTATCGCCGCCTTCTTGGTCTAGAAGACAAAGACCTGTCTGTTCTATGGGTACGTGTAGATCAGGGTGACTACACCGGCATCTATGCGTGCTTGTACAGGTCTCATAGCGGTGACGAGGATACGACCCGACTCTTTGAGCACCTTCAATTGACGTCTGATAAAGTTCTTGAACAGCATCCCTCCGCGAGGTTAGTTATTCCTGGAGACTTCAATGCCCATCACACCGAGTGGCTCCGTTCTCGGCTCACCGACCACGCGGGGAGAACTGCTCACGAGTTTGCTCTGACATATGGATTCTCTCAACTGGTGCTTTCTCCAACGAGAATATAAGAATCCAGATATTGAGACCCATAGAGCTCCCTACTTGACCTTCTGCTGGCTACACATCCGGACGGATATTCAGTGACCGTGGAGGCACAACTTGGTTCTTCAGATCACTGTCTTATCCGATCCCAGGTACCGTGCACAAGTCCTGCCGCATCCCGACCTCCGTGTCAATGTCGCATGTGGCATTACAAGTCAGCAGATTGGGATAGATTGCGAGAATTCTACGCATCGTACCCATGGAAGCAGTACTGCTTTGCATCAGAAGACGTTGATACCTGTACAGCCGCCGTCACTGAAGTCATACTTGCGGGTATGAAATACTTTATTCCAAACTTTCTTGTTGCTTCAGGAGCGAAAAAGCGACCGTGGTTTAATAAGTCTTGCAGACAAGCGAGACAGGCTAAACAAACTGCTTTTCAGGCTTGGACCACGGCTCGTTCTAATAATGATATTGGCGTATCTGATGCGAGGCGGAATTTAAATGCTGCGTCTAGGTTTAGAAAGAGGGCAATTGCTAGAGCCAATAATGATTGATGACTTGGCACTCAGTGCAAAAGAGAAGGCCGATTTGTTGTGCGCTTTTTGCCTCAAATTTGACTCTAGACGCTGGGGATACCATACTTATTACCATCCCATGGTGTGGTAGCTCTATGCCGGAAATATCCGTAACGCAACGGAGAGTCCGGCGAGAGTTACTGTCTCTTGATGTCAAGTCGAATGGGCCAGACGGCATACCGGCATTGGTGTTAAAGAAGTGTACTCCTGAGTTGTGTCCCGTACTCACGCGCCTCTTCGCGTTTTCATACTCCTCTGGGCAATTTCCGCAATCATGGAAGACCACCCTTGTGCACCCTGTGCCAAAAAAGGGTGACAGAGCAAACCCATCGAACTACAGGCCTATCGCTATCGTATCTCTACTCTCCAAGGTCATCACCTTGGAGAGTAGAGATACGATAGCGATATGCATGTAATTAATACACAGCTCCTTGGATACCTAGAGGATCACGATCTATTGAGCGATCGTCAATATGGTTTTCGCCATAATCGCTCAACTGGTGATCTTTTAGCGTATCTCACACACCGCTGGGCTCTTGCCATAGAGAGTAAAGGTGAGGCGTTGGCAGTCGGCCTTGACATAGCGAAGGCATTCGATCGGGTTTGGCATCAAGGTCTTCTATCGAAATTGCCCTCATACGGAATACCAGAGGGATTATGCAAATGGGTCGCTAGTTTTTTGTCTGGCAGATACATCAAAACCGTGGTAGACGGTAATTGCTCCGATAACATGGACATTAACGCTGGCGTCCCGCAAGGCTCTGTTCTCTCCCCAACACTGTTTTTGATGCATATCAATGATCTGTTAACCACAGTTACATAACCTTTATTGCTATGCGGATGACAGTACCGGGGACGCATATTACACGGGCCGTGCTAATATCCCTCTTTCCGTTGTGAAAGCAAAACGCGAATAGCTTGTGTCTGAAATTGAGAGTACTCTTACCAGAGTCTCCGATTGGGGGGACTGAATTTAGTTCAATTCAATCCTACTAAGACACAAGCCTGCGCGTTCACCGCTAAGAAAACCCCTTTTGCTATGGCTCCTCAATTCCAGAACACGTCCGTTACCATCTCTAAGAGTATTGGGATTCTCGGTGTCGACATCTCTAGTACTGTTGAGTTCCACAGTCACCTGGAAGAAAAGGTAAAGCTGGCGTCCAAGAAGCTCGGTGTGCTCTCTATTGAGGCGAGACGAGGCGGTACTTCACTGCGGACCAGAGACTTCTCTTATATAAGTAACAGGTTCGGCCGCTCATGGAGTACTGCTCTCATCTTTGGGCGGGAGCACCTCGATACCAGTTCGGTACTTTTGACTCAGTTCAGAGACGTGCTATGAGAATTGTCGATGATCCCAGTCTCTCTAGCGCCACTTAGCTTGAGGCGAGACTTCGCCTCGCTTTGTGTGTTCTACCGATTATACAATGGACTGTGTTCTGAGGAATTCGACATGATGCCGACAGCCACCTTTTACCACCGCACCGCTCGCCATCGACAGGGAATTCATCCCCACACGCTGGAACCGAACCCCATAAGTGGTCCCGAACAGTGCGGTTTCAGAGGAGTTTCCTCCCGCGTACACTTAGATTGTGGAATGAAGTTCCTGCCGAGGTTTTCGCACGAGACTACAGCATGGGATTTTTCAAGGGTATATTAGGGTTTCTTAAGGGTCGGTAACGCGCAAGTGATACCCCTGGTGTTTCAGGCGCTCATAGGCTACGGTAACCATTTACCATCAGATGGGCCGTATGCTTGAATGCTACCATCGTAGTATAACAAAAAATAACTAGCTGAGCCCGCGATTTCATCCACATTAAAAATCCATAAAATAGCCTATGTTAGTCTGATACAGAAGCTATATTACTGTAAATTTTCATCAAAATCCGTTCAAAGGTTTTTGCGTGAAAGAATAACAAACGTACATTCTCATAAACTTTGGCGTTTATAAGATTAAGAGTATGATATGAACGAATGAAGAATATGGTATAACCGGCATCGGTAAGAGAAAATGAAGAATAAAAAGATGATAAGAAAATTCCATTACTTACTCCATCGTGGCGAAATCACCAGGAATTAATTATCGTGGTTACAAAGAGAGTACGCATAGAGGTCTTCCTGAGAGTAACGCGTCCAATAAATGAGAGACTCAATTAAAAAATTGATATTATAAATTGCATTTCATGATTATCTAGAATATATTAGACAAAAACACCTTCATTGGTCCTAGAGAATCAAGTCATGAGTATAACATTGTTAACAGTACCGAGCAAACTAAGTTACAGTGGTTACTGCTGTCTGTAAAACGTGTGAAGCGGGCATGCCTACCTAATCGGGTATCGGATTTGTTAGAGTTTGCTATCTAGCTATATCATCCACCTATGCGTTGGAAGACTATTTTGGATAACTTGTTCGTTCTAAATGTAAAGTGAATAGAACACTAGCGTATTGACAGTTATATAGAAATCTTAATATAAAATTCTACGAAGAAACACAAAATGACAGAAAACTTCACATATAGTGAACCAAAAAAATGAGTTTGTACAAAGTCATATTTAAATATATACGACCGTTTAACATTTTAAGACATATATGTTATTAAATAGACAATATAATATGGAGACTCATTTACTAGCTCTATACGATCACCGTAATAAATTAATGGATCAGAAAAACTATGGTAAGTACAAAGAATGGTAAGTAGAAGAAAATATAATGCAACAGTCTTCCCTACGTGGTAAAACCCTTTTATAAGAACAGATGAGGTGACTTGAGCTTATGATGATGTAGTCTTGTACCTTTTTGGGTCTCTTTTCTGCATAGTGATCTTTGATGTACGACCTCGTACCTTTTGTCTAACACACCGCTTTACGTCCGATGGTCGCGGGTTCGATCTCGCACGGCACAAACATTTGTATTCATGAGTATTGTTTGTGTCGGTCTGGGTGATGTATATTAAGTGTATTTAAAAAAAAAATATCTATGTATTTGTATCAGTTATCTAGTACATAGATGGTGCTGTGTGAATTGTTCTGAGATTATATTATATTATTATTATTATTATTTGAATTAGCTAAAATATTTACCAAGTATAATCTAACTTCGAAGTCAGACTATGTATTAGCTAACGGCTGCAACATTCTGTGGACCACATAGCTTTTCGTGAATCTTCGTACAGTTATTACACAATCATCGATAACAGAGTTTGGCACTGGCTAGCGGTGTACGTCCTGTTAGACATACACCTAAGTAACGATACATGTTTTCGCTTAAATACTGAAAACGGTTTATAACCTATATGTGTGCTAATGTTATAAGGAGAGAAAGAGAGATAATTGCATTTCGAGAGGATCTACTTACCGATATCATTAGGATATCAAAGGTTCATTGTCCAGAATAACATAGACTATATATTATAGTTCTATATACAAAACTAACGCAGTTGGAATACACGAAATCACCTTTTTAAAAAAGGGGTAAAATAAATAGGTGTCACGATGTGGTCGACACGTAAATTGAAGAAAAATCCATTTCCATATAGAGAGATATATTTGGCGGGAAAAAGGCATTTTGGGAGAATATGCTAATCTTGTTAATTAGTGGTGCCTCCCGTCCTTCCGTAGCCGAGAGAAAAATACTCTGGCCGCCCTGACTTATTGCCCCCATTAATATTGTCCGCACTTCCCCGACAACTGCCTATTTTCCAGCTTCTAAATCTGCTTACTGCTAATCACCACCACTTGCACGCCATCTCCCTAACTCAAACGTTATATTTTCCCATTAGATATTCTCTTTATCTTATACCCATTTACGTCCAACTTTTTTATTTTATTTTGTTCTATCATAAAATTGTACTAATTATTACAAGTTAATTTTACATTACATATCCTATTTAAGCAATATTTATGTTATCCTCATGTAACATAATGTTGATATAAGTACGAGTATTTATGTATATGTATTATCTTCTAGCATGAAATTATTTAACCCGTAGTGGGTTATGAAATTTTCTGATTATTAAATCTGCCCATTTGTTTACTTAGTTACAATTCATGTTAACATTTTTTCTATATTTATAATCCTCTCAAAATATTGAAAGAATTAATATAACAATGAATTTCAGGCTGTTATTGGAAATGCCTATTTTCGGTGTAATTCCTACAGATCATACAATTAGCAATATCAAAAATATTCAAAATTATATAGGTATATACGAACCTAAAAATTTTTTTCATCATATTAATCTGAATTTAAATCGTTTACTTTAAAACAATGCGAATTATATATGATATATAGTACATATGTATTAAACTGAATGAAAAGTATTGCATAAATTATAATTTAATTTTAAAAAATGCGACTATCTAAAGGCCCTGGTTCCATTTAAAGTTTGTTATAGGTATATGTATACGATAAGAATGTAAGTAATCGTACAATATTAAATTCAAATTATAATATCGATAGATACTATCACATATATTTCCATTATATATGTAAATCAAAGACGTAATTTAAAAATGCACAAAAAAATGTCTTGCACAGTTTTTCAGTTCAGTTCAATCTAGATTAGATTGAACTGAACACTGTCGGCATTTCGTGTTATTGACACTTTTTTCTCTATTATAGTAAAATCCAGTCTCCAGAAATTCGTATATACGACATTCTGTAGGATGATTTAGATATAGACAACAAATCAGTAGAATGGAAAAAATGGTATTGACAATATGAGCCCACTAAAACAATTTCATCAAGTTACGAGATGTTTGTAATCATCGAATCATTTACCAGATGGTTATCATACAACGTGCAAAATCTTGTTGTTGAAATAATGTCTTTTAGTGGATTATAAAGATATGCTCGCGTGCACTGCGCACACGGTATAGACTGGCGATACACTAGTGGAGGATGAACGGTTGCTTAAGTTAAGTTTATTAGCCCATCGTAACGTAATCGTAATTTACCAAAACTTATTATGTTTATCTTTTTTTTATAGTTGTCCAAGCAAATATTACAAAACTCCATCGCCGGTATAACGTTACAGGTATAAAGTGTAATATATGATTTTTTCCACACGTCGGATCGTGAGCGATCAACAAAAACGCTATATGTATGTCACCGCAAATCCCTGCAAACACTGAGGTGAGCACAAAGAGCAGTTCTGTAAATCAGATGTACCACGGACGAGATTTATGTGTAAATAAAACAACCACAATCCCGGCCAACCATCGCGCGGAATTAGGTATTTCAATTTAACGCCAGTTACCGTATGCGATAAATTCATGTAAACCGTACATGTCTACTTATCTATACATAGCTGAGGGATTATCTCATTAACACTACTAATTAACAGCTTAGTCATATTAATAAATTAATTAATTATCAATAATTACTACAATGTAAATAATTGTTAACTAACTAGTTCGTCCCCATTTGGAACTGAATCTCTATACTAAAATACCTACATTAACGCACTTGTGAAAAAAAATACGAACTATACATTTCTGTTATCATGTAAATATCTAGATGTGTTAGTTTAATGCGGAGAGATGTGGTGAAACAATTTTATTATAATTTATTGATTAAAGTATTAATGAATTACCGTACCGCATGAGACAGCGTGTATATACGACGTATAGTACGTATTATAACTTCTTAGACCAAAAAAGTGGGTGGGCTGTGTAAAAGATGATATGCACAATGCGAGATTACATACATATATACATGTGTAGGTTGGACTCCATTTTCCGCAATTGGCCTCTCATTCGGGTAGTTGTGCTTACATACAGTCCAACCTACATATCATCTTTTACACAGCCCACCCACTTTTTTGGTCTAAGAATTTATAATACGTACTATATGTCGTATATATAAATAATTATACTTGTAGGTACCATATTTATTACTTTATTCTAATTCCTTTTAATAGCTGCTGAAACACTGTCTACGTAATCGATAATACTGATAAACGTTTAATATAATGGTACAAGAATAAGCAATCTAATCATTTGACAACATAATTTCATATACGTGATCAATTATATGAAACTTTGTAACTATGCTGTGTCACTATGTGGTTATCTACAGGTTTAGTAAACACTCTAAGCTTGTTTATGCAAAATAACGATGAAATATTAATATTAAAATACTCCTATAGTAAACAAATAACACTTTCATGACACTATCAAGTTCCAAACGAAGTAGAGTTTATAATATGGATACTAGACAACTGATAGGCATTTTTAAGAAAAATTACATACACATGCAAATTAAGACTAATTAATTGTATTCCTGAACATTAATTTATATACATTAACATGTGTATGTTTTTACTGTAAGGGGATCCCGTATGCGATCGTCATAAAGTAATGCGAAACGCTAGGCCATCAAGATACTATAGTTTTATTTTTTATAATATGTGTAATTATTTTTTATTTTATGCTGTTATAATTAAAAATATTCTATGTGGTCTAGGTTTGGTCCTATCCACAAGCAATTTATAATTAACTAGCTACTCGTCTACATGGTGTACATGTATTTTATATATAAACCTTCCTCTTCAATCACAATATCTATTAAAAAAAACCGTTTCAAAAATTGTTGCTCCGTACTTTTGTACATTACTACTACGTAAGTTAATATTAAAATCGCTGAGTTGTAGATTTTTAACAGAGGATAAATTTTATCATAATTTATTTTTACTAATATAGAACTCATTAAATATCTGAGAAATATTTAATCATTTTGGCTTAAAATAAACTATAAAGGAAAAGATATGAGAAGACGACTACGTTAGCCATCTACTTTATAACAGAGAGGACATTTTATAAAATTGTATAATATATTTCTACGCAGAAATATATTTCTTAATAAATACCTACATTACAATTCACAATAAAATACATATAACCAAAAGAGATTATTTAAATTTGCTGAAGCAGGAACTTATTTCTTTGCTTTCTTATGGACATTTTCATGTAAAATTTTCACGTTATTATATTGATCCAGTACTTTTACTATGTACTAATCAATCATGATATTGTCATCTGACTACAAAATAGAGGTACTTCTCAAAGTGATTTAAGATTCAAGATTTTTTAAATTTCTTATAAGATTTAAACAAATGTATGTAAGTGACATGTTCTTAACATTAGAAACTATGTACATAACATTCAATGAAGCGAGCAATTTGTTAAATATTATATGGAACTAAAAACTATCTACGTTATATAAATTAAACTGAGGAATGTCGTGTGACAAGACGCAATGCATTGCTTAATGTAATTTTATGTCAGATAAGTGAAAACTTTAACCATTTATAATCAAATTTGAAGATTATTGTAATAGACATGATGATTACCATATACTATACTATTATACATTAAAAGTTTTTAAATTGAATTCAGAAAAAAAGATCGTATATTAATCGTATTTTATTTAAATTATTTTATTAAGTACCGCATTCGTATTTCACTGGGAGTAAATGCAATTTTTTTATGAATCAATATGATATGGTGTACTCATCTACACTAACGGTATACGCTAGTTGCGTATCAGCGCAGGATAATGTTATGTGAGTCAGTCCATCGTGTGTCAATTCAGGAATTAACCACGATAATTTCAAGGGAAGACCGCGTGTAATTTATAGCGTGTATATATATTATTTACCAATATAATATATATGTAATATATTATATTTGTAAATAATAATACACTAATTTATCAATAATCACTCCCCTGAAATAGTTTAATTTCTATATATATAGGTTTTTCTATATATATTCCAACAATAGAGCACAGTAGCTGTAGCAAGACTATTTGTCTTGCTATAGCTACTGTGCTCTATTGTTGGAATATTTATCTATAGAAAAATACTGTATTAATGAGATTATCTGAGATGGATGAATAAAATATAAAATTTTAATAAGTTATATATAGAATAGTAATCAAAGAGGAACATATTATACACGTGATTTTTTTATTGGCTTTAATACAATTCACAGTTGAAAGCGATTTGTTGTACCGAATCACTTACCGTTGCTATTACTCTAAAAATAACTAGATTTCTAAAAAAAACAAGACATAATTGTGAAAAGTTTATAATAACAGAAAATTTGCATTGATTGGCATTTATAATTACTTTATAAAGGAACAGATGTTTATAAAAATATAACGCTTAATTCTATTCACAATTTGGGGTATCATATGCGAAGTGACTCTACCTTGTTAAACCGCGTGTTTGACCACCACAACCATGATCTACAAAATTGATCTAATTTTCGGGAAACGAATACTTTACTAATTTCTCTGATTCTATCCATAGTTTTTTTGCAAGTTCGTAATTTTGTGATAGTTTAGAAGCCTCTTTTTGACGACAGTCACTAAAATACTTTCCGCTCACTTCAGCCACTTCTGGAGATACAGCTAAGTAAATAGACGTCTGAGATGCTTCCCATGGCGTTTGGAACATAAATCCTAATATACTTTCAACTAATTGACGAATAAACGTATTTGGAATGTTTCTAAATAGATTCGTTGCAGCTACTCCAGGATGCAAAGCATTCGCGGTCACACCGGTGCCTTTTAATCTCTCACTTAATTCCAATGTCATCAGATTTATAAATAATTTGCTATTAGCATAGACTTGATAATCACTCCAATATTTTTCCATGTTCAAATTATCGAAGTCCACTTCACCGTACTTGTGTATGACAGATGAAACGCTAACAATGCGACTGGGTGCTGATTTTTTTAATAAGGGCACCAGCTGACATGTCAATAAAAACTGTGCAAAGTAATTAACTTGCATTCCTATATGTAAGCCATCTTCAGTTGTGCAATTTCCGAGACCTCCAGCACCAGCATTGTTAATAAGTACATCGAGACGGCTCTCCGTTTTCTTTATATGTTCACAAAAGTCACGAATGGACCGAAGAGACTTTAAGTCCAACTGCTGTACATGGACGTCCTTATTTCCCGTTTCTTTGATGATGAGCTCCTTAGCTGCAGCAGCACGATTAACGCTCCGGCAAGCCATAATTACCCGTGCGCCGCGGTTCGCTAGGTCTTTCGCTGTTTCGAATCCTAACCCACTATTAGCGCCAGTCACTATAACCACTTTCCCGACCATGTGTGCGCTCGACCGACAAATTCCACATGTTAATTTCTGATATACTTTCACGCTCACAACAATTAGCACAGTAATTGAAATCAACGACCACAGAATCATTACGACCGACATCTGTAGATTTACGAGTATATACACACAATATCAGCTGTACACGTTTGTATGTTTTGAATATATTTTATAAAATATTGTAAAGAAGTTACAGATAATACGGGGTATGATAAGCCGTATCAATTCCCGTAGCATGTGTACTTTATAGATAAAATAGCGAAAGACCGATATCTTTACATTTTTTAATGTCCTCAACGATGTTACGTTCGTTTAGTAGTAATATAATAGCTGTACTAGTTGCTGGTGCCAAACGTGCGTAGACGCCGCGGCCGCCGGCGACGTCTCGTTAGGTGACAGATTGCGTAACACGCCATTGAATTTTGTTCAGTGATATAGTGATATCACCTTGAATTTATTATAAAATTACAACGCTTATTACTACTGTAATCTTAAAAATGGTAGGTACACTTATTTTTATCCCGTAGATGCTTCAAAGCATTAGTAACGTGAGAGAAAGTATATTCAACTATATTAGTTTTGGTAACAAGTATTCTACGATGCATTTTAGATTTATTTGGTATATTTACACATTTTTACATTTTTCTCATTTACATATTTGAGATTTGTTTATTAAAGACCGAAAATAAAAAACTCATTTCCCCAACAGCATGTTCATTATTGTTTATTTATTTCAATCGCGTCCGTAGAGATAAAACCAACATACATGCACGTAAGGTCAAAAACCGGAAACGATTTTTTGCATAAAACAATTTTCCAAAGCACTAGTCTAAAATCGGTGTCCAGAATAGGTAAACGTTTTTTACATTAACTGTGAAAATTAAAAGCGTATTTACATATCATTTTCACAAAGTATATCTGTTAGAGATAAACTCACAAGGCTTAAAACTACTCTGCTGTATATTCTTTTTACAAGTACATTATAAAGTCTAATGGAATTTTATGTACTTGTAAAATAAATAGCAAAATTATTTTAAATAGTACAACTATTATAACTATTCCGATGTTTTTTTTAGTAAGAATCAAATTTTCTACAGTATATTCATAATTTTCTTTTGTGATATTAAAACATGAAAGTTTATAAAGAAGATCAAAGATTCTTCTTTAATCAAATAAAAATCAACAGAAACATGCTTCTGGTTAAAGAGGCTGGTTGAATAGAAATACAGATAAATAAAATCCACAATTCACACACACAATTTTATCTCAATATATCGGAACATAGTCAAATAATAGATCGTAAGTATTTGTTTTCAATAGACGTGTTCTAAAAGAGTCGTACCATCTCTACTCTAGAACTGTTCCACAACTTAGTTCACTAAACATAATGGTTTCCCATTCCATTAGACAAATGTCAGTCAGTGAGTCACTGGTAATTTGACATTGGATATATTCAGAGGGATACAACATAGGTAGAATTAGACAGAGGATGCCTCATTCATATCCGAACTTGGAATTATTAATTTTGATTTTGAAACCTCAATTCAGATTTCCATTTCATAAACATACATGGTATGAGCATTAGTCTAAAAAGCATTATATTGGACCTCTGTCGAGTTATTGATATTTTCTGAGCCTGTTTTGTTTACTTTTAAATATCTTATCTTTATTATTAAAAATAGTCTACACATTTAAACTAATTTTATACATACTATATTTAACAATACGTCATTTTCATTCAAATTAACAAAAGATGCAAACTAATTAAATATATAAGTTTATTCTATGTTTGTCGATTTTACGAATATATATAATACAGTGTTAACTATTTGAGATATTGGAAACAATTAAACAATATTGTAATTATCTTAAAATACTGTTTATTTACAGATTTTTGGTAAATTGTTATACTCCATACTCCTCGGGCATAGGTATGATATCGCAGCTGTAAAAATGTATGCTAAATAACTATAAATTATTTAGTTTCAGAGAGACCAAACTAATTATACAGAATCCGAAAATTCATGATAGTTTGTTCATTAACAGGTTGATGTGTATATTATGTAACTAAAGTTAGATATTGTATACGTCACATACGATTATAATATGCTCATATACGTAATGTTAGCAGTATTTAGGTAGAAGTAGTTAAAGGAGAGAACAATAACGAAATATATTAAATATATTAAACAGCCAAGTAATATGTAATTTCATAGAGAATAGTGAATAATTATTGCATTTTTTTATAATGGATGAATGAACTTTGCACCCGCCCGCGATAACGACTTTATGTATATAATAGAGGACGATAGTAATGATACGATGATATGAAGTCAGATTAATTAGCCTATTGTGATGAATTCACCAGGAATTAATCACGATGGTTTCCGGGAGGGGGGGGGGCGTAAATATGACAAGGTATACCACAAGCAATAGGGTCAGTAGGTCCCTCTACTGCCAAAAATTATTATAAATCCTTCTAATACCTCCCCCTACTATTATTATATATCAATTAATACAACATAATAATAATATTAACAGTGATGGTATGAAATTTGTTAGAAAACTTATTTTCCTATTTAATATTGGTACTCCACAGCTGCATTAGGTATTCATAGAAGGAATAATTTATTTTTATTGTCCTATATCATTGTTGATTATCGTTGTAAAAATTTATTACTGTCACAGCAATAATCCCAGATAAGATAGGTCACAGAGAAATTAATAGAACGTAAAATATTATTATTTTAGCGTATCTCGTGGAAGCCAATTCCAACGTCTGATAGCATCAATCCATTATTGTTTCATATGAAGGTCATATGGATACCTACGGAAATTATTATTTTAAATTATTGTCAATAAATAATTTTAACAATAAATTTATCACAAGTTAACCCTTGACATCACTGATACGTATTGGACAACACAACATATTACAAAGTAAGACTAATCATTTACGGTACCTACCTACCTACGTAATCAATGTAAAGTGTTATATTTCGATAAAAGTCAATTAAGTCGTATTCCATCATATTTCAATATATTTTGCATCTTACTCTTTTAACTACATATAAAGTTTATTATTTAAATAAATAGACCTTTAAATCTGCTCTCAAATGGCAAACCTAGGTATCAAACAGTATAGATATTATCTATTTGTACACAAATAATACAATCCAAATAAAGACCTCGCCTTTCATATACATTTTCTATTGAATCATTATATTTTTCCAGGCATACGCTGTAAAATAATTATTATGAAAATTGGCACAATAATTGGAGCCACAATTATAATTATAAGAATAAGCAATTAGGAATGTGTCAAGTTTCCTTTGAAGATGAAACTGTATTAACCTAGTTCACAGTTATACGTATCCTGTCATCCCGACTAAGGCATGAAGGCCTTGCCTTGTATTGCTTCGCAATTTGTCGCATCACATCACATCAAACGATCTCATTACCCCGAGTGCTTGGCGAACGGTGTCATATTAAAGACCACCTCAACTTTGCCCAACAAAATTATGGTTTTAAGAGCTCGTGTGGGCGACTGGAGTTTTATTCAACTAGCAATTGCCAGGGGATTTGTCTGTGCCCCTATACAATTTCCGCAGAAATTCTCTCTGAACATGTTATGATGAAATTACAATCCCACAAGCACATGCTGACAGTTAAAAAGGAAAATAAAATTAAGTAATTCGTACTCCATTCTGGCTAATTCAGGGTAACTACGTAGAAGTCAATCTGTTATGATACCAATCATCTATAAAGTTAACAATAATTATTAAATAGAATAAAAAAGTAGTATAAGAATAAATAATAATTACCAATGTTGCAAATTTATTTTGTTATAATTCAGTGATATCCTTAGATTGTATTATTGGAATATTTTGTATACAATAATAAGACGTATTTTTCGAAGGTTTGTAATTCTGTTAGCGGTAGGTGTCGGTGCTATCATCACTGAACTCGATACTTCAGTACGATGACACCGCTAGGGGCTTGTAACCTTAGCTCAGGCCATCGTAATATCAATTCACCATTGATTAGGACAGGGGGCCGATCGGAGGGGCGACCGGGGGTGCTAGAGTCGAAACAATTACATAAAAAATATTTTGTTCATACAATAAAAACAATGTTTCATTTCTTCTAAAAATTTTGTGCCTACGTATTGTAGGCACAAAATTTTTAGATTGTATGTATCAATAAATACAATTATCGTGTTCTTATTGTTATATCATATCCGACGTCACTAATAATAAAAGATATTTTTATTCCTAGTACTGACGTCTTTTGCTGTACTATAGATATACATAGATATTAAATTACTATAAATAATACAGCGCGCGTAATGATTGAACGTCAGGCATACAAATAATTAATACGTAAGTAATTTGCTAACATTCACGGTATTTAATAGAATACCTCACTGTGAAAAAACTGATTACGATTGTTTAATTAAGTCTATCCGCAAACATCAGAGGAACAGATTCATCAGCAATGCACTGCTATAGATGACAATGATAGTGAATAAATGGAAAATGATTAAATAAATCTTTTCAGATAGGGCAGATCCTAATTATGCATACATTACAATACCTATCTACTGAGCTCTAAGATCGAAAGACCACTATACAACTTCACTTGATCTTCGTTAGCATGGTGAACGCGCCAATATCAACCTGAAATTAAAAATAATTCAGACACTATGGTGTTTCAATATACTAACTCGATAAGGCATGTTACTGCCCGTATATGAGCACCTCCTTACAAGGGGTGCTATCGTGATATTCAAAATAAACTAGATAATATAAAATTAATAAATAGGGCAATAAGCTGCCAACAGTCAGACATAAAAAAGCAAGGAAAATTAATGGACAGGCATTCATTTTCAAAATATTTGATTATCGTTATTTTAAAGGGCGGCAGATAGTATAAAACTCCTTCAAGGATGATGAATTACTTAGCGAAATATAAAAGCCTATAATATTAATTAAGCTGTTGGTACTTACCTAATTAGCCGTTAGACAAAATCGAGTTGTGAGCAGCTGGTAAACTGTGAACGAGGGCACCGTATTTTATGGCCCTAACAAATCCTTTTCTGTTGAACTTTGAAGTCCAAAAGTAATTACGTTCTTACGTAATATAAAATTGTCATCAATCTAATACAGGCAAATAAAAAATACATTTAATTAGTACTGCGTAACATTTTTTAATTTTTGGTATTACAATATTATATTAGGCGCTATGTAAATAGTACAGTTTAGGTATATAGTATATATATATTAAGAGATACTGAAAAAGGTAGGTATATATTTGGTAATTATACAATTTGTTAGATGCAGATGTTAATTTTTATTTTTTTCGTGCTACTTATACATAATATTATAAATAAATAGGATTGAATTAAATACAAATTCCGTATACCTGATTATTGCATATTAATTGATGTAAGACAGTACTTTTTTATTTACGAAAATACGTACTTACCACAATAACTCAGAGACTTAATGTATTTAACGCCTCATAAAAAAATATAGCAATAATGCTAAACTGCGTGTTAGTAAACTAAAAAAGAAGTGATGTCAATTTATGAATATTATGTGGGTACCAAGATTATAGCTACAATTCATATTACCTTTTCTATGGATATTCCTTTACTATTAAATAATAAAATATATTAAAAGCGAGGTTTTAACCATCTTAAATACTATATACCTAATTAGTCCAATCTAAAAATATAAGAAAGCTAAAATAATTCAATACATCAATATTATTCTGTATTCTATTTCATTTAGCGATAATATTTTACATTATATGCAATCTAATGAATGAAGCTTGAAACACTAAAAAAGCAACAACATCTAAATGTAATAACTACTGTATATGTGATGATTTTGCAAGCCAAACCTCCCGTTGTTTTTTGATAGTTCAATACAAGTAAAAATTTCTTCTCTATTTTCCATGTTGTATAAATATGTTCTAAGATAGAGGAAGACTATTGTAGTATGTTAGTATAGGTTTTAGCAATGGCATCATTACTAGCAATGTATTGTGACGTAGACGTCTACACGAACCTCGATGGAAACCATGGTTAATCTGTCATAAATTACCTAAATTTATCATTATTGTATCATCCTAAACTTGTGGCCAGACAATATATATTGTTGGAGATATGAACACAACAGCTTACCAGCTGTTGTGTTCATATCATATAGATAGGTGACACACCCGTATCTTTTACCTTCTACATATTCGTAATCTAATCGCATTATAACTGTTCAAACGACTACCCATCATAGAGGCATTCATATACGTAGCAATACATACAACCATAGAGTATTATCACTTATATGATTAAAATTGAAATTATTTGAAGGAAGTCAAAGATTCCAATCCCTAAAAAAAGTGTTGCCAATTTGATGCAATTACATTTTGTTTAATTTAATAAATATTGTATTAGTACATATTTGTTAAGGTTTTTTTTTATTTCTCTATACACAAATTAACAAAATTATTAAAAATAATTATGATGGTTTGTTGGTCATTCCGTTTAGATACAATTATGTACTTCTATCTTGTCTATGAATAGCCGCAGTATAGCTATGTTTCAAGATTACGATCTACTAATGCCACTGTCACTTGATAAGCGTTGTTTTTCCAGTGTGCCCGTTTGTGTGTACCAGTACCATGTTATCATCCTTTATTTTATTTAATATAATATTACTCTTCTTTGTTTTCATATTCAATAAGCTAACATTGGGCATTTGTAAATGCAGTAAGCATTTAGTTGGTAAAGTGGTTATAGTGACGGGTGGAAATACGGGAGTTGGTTATGAAACGGCAAAGAATTTAGCGGAGAGAGGCGCCCGAGTTATTTTAGCTTGCCGGAATGATGAACGCGGAAACACAGCGCGGGATAAAATTATCTCGGACACCGGCAACCAAGACGTCCATTATTTGAACCTAGACCTTGCTTCTTTGAAATCAGTAAGATATTTTGCTGAGAAAATACTCAAAACCGAGAAACGCCTTGATATACTTGTCAACAACGCCGGCATTTATGGATCAGAAAATGTGAAAACAGAAGACGGTTTAAATCTGGGGATGCAGGTTAACTATTTTGGACATTTTCTCTTAACCAATCTATTACTTCCCCTTTTAAAAGCGTCTGCTCCGAGCCGCATTATTAACGTATCGTCATTATCACACACCACTGTAAAACTTAATATAAATAATTTGAATTTTGAGAATGAAACTACAAAAACGTATGATGTAAGCAAAGTTTATGGAACGTCAAAACTGTGCAATGTTCTAATGACCACAGAGCTGGCTCGATTATTAAAAGGAACAAAAGTTACTGTGAATGCTTTGAATCCGGGACTAGTAGACACTGACATAATATCAACTATTCCATGGTTGAATTTTATTAGACCGTTGATAAAACCTATTATGTTCAAGACAGTTTGGGAAGGTGCGCAAACAACAATTTACCTGGCCGTGTCTCCTGAAGTAGAGGACGTTAGCGGGTATTACTATAGCGATTGTCGTCAGAAAAATACCTCCTTGCAAGCTCAAAATAAAGATCTTGCTAATGAACTGTGGAAAATATCACTAAAACTAGTTAAATTGGAATAAATTGTGTAGTATATATAATAATTTATTTTATTGAAATATCATGTTTTATTTTCTTTGAACGTACTAAAAACTTAGGAATTAATAAAATACTATTTGCCAAAGTCCGGCTAAGAATGGTCTGGCTTTCTAAAGATGCCTTATATAAAATGGTATATTTAATAATAATATAAAGGCTAATATGAATATTACCAAGAGAGTGACTTGCCCTTTCACGAACCAACTAGATTCATTAATTTGTTTTCAATAGATATTTATCTGCGACTTGTCTAGCCCCTTTTTTTTTACTTGGAGAAATTCCCTCAGGGAACTTGAGGTCAATAAGGAAGAAAATCTAGCTTTATATGAATTTATACATATAGATAATATTGTAAAATGCCGAGTTTCGTTGACTGTGTGTGTTATTATAAGCGAAAGTATAAACTATAACAAATTTCAATAAAATATGAATATTAGGTTACAATTACTGTACCTATATGCGAAGAAATCTTGTGATACATACACATATCATTTTGTTTTTTCTTTATTATAAATGTGCTTTTTTCAGAAAAGATAAACTTAAAAAAATTACTTTTTAATGTGTTTTTCATTAAAAAGTAATTTTTTTTTCTAAATCGTTAGTGCCATTTTTGAGATAACTTTTATAATTATCCTACTAATATTATAAATCACTTTGCGAGTATGGATAGTTAGATAGATGGATGGATGCTTGAAACTCTTTCACCAAAACTACAAAAGAGATTTTACTAAAACTTTACAGTAATATAGCTTAGATATTACATTACACATAAGTAATAAATTTCACGCGAGTGAAACAGCCGGCACTGCTAGTATTCCATAAATAATAAAACCTGCAATAAGTACATATATGTAATGTAAAATATGTTTATCAATCTGATTTTGAAAGTGTATCTGTGGAAGGATGCTTATAAGTTCCCAAAATGTTTGGTGTAAGTATATTTTCAAAAACTAACTTACATTTTATTTTAAGGGAAGTTTATTTTCTACGTATATTCTACGATTTTATTCAGATACTCTTCGACATACTCAATTATTGAGTGCTATTTTCGGTAGAACTTACATACACTTCATATCCATACTAATATTTGCAATTCGAAACTGTGTCTGTCTGTCTATTTTTAACCTTTTAGAACTAAACGCATAGATGAATCTTTACGAAATTTGTCGTCAATATATATTGTATCACAACACCTACCACAGGCTTGCGTCTGAAAAAAATAGACTAAATCATTGTAACAACATTGTATAACCATTTTAGTAAAAAAATAACGACTTATTTGTAATTTTACGACAAAGCTACGCCAAATATGAAAGTCTATTTGTCTAGATGATAGTACCAAAACAAAGTAAACAGTTTTCACTTTCCGTAATAGTCCGTAGTACGTCCGTACACAATAATAATTTAAAGAGTTTAACCAACTCACTAACCGTTGTGCATATGTTGGTAGGCAATATAGGCACATTATGTACATTTTATGTAACCCGACCCACTACATACACTACACTACAAACTATTACAAAAATTATTGTAGAGGAATTTACGTCACTAGTATGGTGTGTGATGCGTTATAGTAACGACACAATGTTGTTCATATTATTATCTTCAATTTTATTTACTATTACATTCGCATTTCTTATTTTATTGTATAATAAGCTAACATTAGGCATTTGTAAATGCAGTAAGCATTTAGTTGGCAAAGTGGTTATAGTGACGGGTGGAAATGCGGGTATTGGTTATGAAACGGCAAAAAATTTGGCGGAGAGAGGTGCTCGAGTTATTTTAGCCTGCCGAAATGATCAACGCGGTGTCACAGCGCGGGATAAGATTATATTGGAAACTGGCAACGAAGATGTACACTACCTAAATCTAGACCTTGCTTCTTTGAAGTCAGTAAGAAATTTTGCGGAGAAAATACTCAAAACTGAGAAGCGTCTTGATATACTTGTGAATAACGCTGGTATTTATGGATCGGAATTTAAGAAAACAGAAGACGGTTTAAATCTTTTGATGCAAGTCAATTATTTTGGGCACTTTCTTTTAACCAATTTATTAATTCCTCTTCTCAAGACGTCAGCTCCTAGTCGCATTATAAACGTATCATCGCTTTTACATGTCACCTGTTCACTGGATATAAACAATTTGAACTTTGAGAATGCAACTAAAGAAACATATGACGTAAACAAAGTTTACGCAACATCAAAACTTTGCAATGTCCTAATGACTGTGGAACTGGCTCAACAATTAAAAAACACAGGAGTTACTGCGAATTCTTTGCATCCAGGGTTAATAGACACTGATATTATAACAACCATTCCATGGTTAAATTTGATTAGGACATTAATGAAACCTATTGTATATAAGTCGGCTTGGGAAGGTGCACAAACAACAATTTACTTGGCTGTCTGCCCTAAAGTAGAAGACGTTAGCGGGTACTACTATAGCGACTGTCGACAGAAAAACACCTCTGCATATTACGAAGCCCATTATGCACAGGTTGCTAATAAATTATGGAACATATCACAAAAAATAGTTAAATTGGAATAAATTGTGTTGTTTAATGAGATTTTTTTCTATAAATGGTAATTATGCACATAATTATTTCAATATATTGTGATATAATCGACATACCAGTCTATTTAACTTATGTAAATACCTTAGTTTATAATTACCTGCTTATGTACTCCCGCACTTCACTCGGGTGCTCTTAACTTTGAGTTTTGTATATACATACCGCTTTTGAATAATAAAACCATTCAAAGAGTGAAATAATTTCTCAAATCAGTGCAATAGTCCCGGGATATACTTTCCTCATTACAAAATCCCCTCTCCATGCTCTTCTTTATTATATTAATTTAATAGGAAAAGGATCTAGGGATACTAGAGAACTACAAATAAGATGAGAAACAATAGAGAACAAGATGAGAAATAAGGAGTGTTGTTTGTTGCCCTAATAATTTATAACATATAGGATATTAACATACGTTATTTGATATATGTAATATGCAGTAACTTAAAAATAGGATTATTTCAAAATTAAAATTAAGTTTTTTTAACCTTGAGGTGCATATTTTTCGCTATATCACATATTATATATTTATAAATAAATTTTATTGTAAGGAAATAGCACAAGTTTTACCTACAGGTTCATAGAAGACATTATACTTATTTGTAAGTCACGACAATAAAATCTGCTTTTAAAATAAAATCGAATTATTAAAAAGGATTTATTAACATTTGAACGATATATTTTATAAATTTTAACATATAAATATGCTTACATATGTACATACATTTTAAATTAATATCTCTAAATGTCCTTAATATTATGAATACATTGCATTGGAAATAAATTCTGATTTGTATTATATGTACCTAAATAATGTAGGTTTTACTTTACCTTAGAATTAAGATGTGTATTATGCAAAATAAATAAAAAAAAACAAATTTGAAATGCAAGATAATGTAAATTGGTGACATCAACGCAAATACTTGTTTTGTTGTCTCGTCTTCAGAGATTTAACTTATATATATTATCTATATGTATCTGATACAAATCTGGCGAACAATAAGAAATAGTTTTAAAAACTACAATTAAACTTTATTCCTAAGGCCTAAATTTACAACTCAGGTTTTTTTATTATTATATACTAATATACAAATAAAAACTATTATCTATCTATCTTAAATCTTCATTGTAGATCCCCCATGGGGTAGGCAGTGAGAACCAAATGCGGTTAGCTTTTTTTGGAACTGAATAGTTATTATCTAACTAATGTAGACTCGACTCCATCTATCAAATCCTAGTTGCCAAATTATATTTTTTTTATATTATCCTTACTACAAGTCAATTAAATAAAGATAATTGTATGGAATGATTCAATTGAATTATATACATATTATATTTAATATGGACAAGCACATGCATAAACAAAGAATTACTGTACATCTTATACTGTACCGTACTGTACATTTTACTTAGTCATGTTTCTTGACTCATATTATACATCACTTCCTTCTTTTTTCTAAAAGATATTCATTAGTACTTGTTTACCAACCACTTATATAGTTCTTCCTTAAAATTAGCTTTATGCTCTTCTGGCAAGTTGTAAAATGATGGTCCACCTCGTGTGACGCTCGTGGACACTCCTATGTTACCGTTCCGGAGGATTAAGGTACCTCCATACCTCGTGTTTTCATCAACTAAGGAATAATAGGTTTAATAATTCATAAAATCAATCATCATGAACGAGGATAAGTTCAACCATGTCCAGAATTCATTTATTGGTAGCATAGGCTTCTGTAAATTTCGTTGTTACCTTAAAATTATCGTTCATATTTCACTTAAAACATTTAACTGACAAAATAATTACTATAGTGCTATTATAGTATATTACTAGCTACTAGCCCCGGCTTTGCCCGGGTGTATATGTATTATACATGAATCACTTTCACATCTTTTCTTGAATTACTCTATCTTTTAAAAAAAACCGCATCAAAATCCGTTGCGCAGTTTTACAGACTTAAGCATACATAGACAGACAGGGACTTTGTTTTATACTATGTAGTGATTTATGTTAACACTCGCCATACCTGTGATTTCTTTGAAAAGAAAACTCACTTTCCTGAAACAGATCGCGAATATAAAAAAATATATTCAATTATACTCTCAAAATAAATGTAATAATGATCAAAGAATTATTAATAATTAATAACAGCATAGGTTCTTTGTTATCCATGGAAAGTTCTCAGTTCGTGTAATCACTTTTTTATAACTCTGTTTTTAATTACAATCCAACTAAACTGATTGACACTTTCTTTTGTCTTTTTGTGTCTATAAAGATGTGTCCAATTGTAAACTGAAAATACAAAATATTCTTAAAACAGCGCTGACTTATATGATATTATTGTGTTTTGCTGTTACTATCTAATTAAAGCTTAAGGAGTTATTATCTTATCTATAATTTCATTATTAACTAAACCCCGAAAAGATTACTAACATTCTTATATACAAGCGACTGCCTAGACTAGTGGTCAATAATAATGTTTTCAATATTATTATGTGCCGGTTTAATTATTTCTGTATTTTTGTTAATTAGTTTACTTTATGTAAAATTAACATTGGGTGTCTGTAAATGCAGTAAACACCTTGTTGGTAAAGTGGTTATCATAACAGGTGCTAATTCAGGGATTGGATATGAGACCGCGAAAGATTTGGCCCACAGAGGCGCTCGAGTTATTTTAGCTTGCAGAAATGAACAACGCGGCCTGACAGCTCAGAACAACATCATTGCAGATACCGGCAATCAAGATATCCATTACCGTCAACTGGACTTGGCATCTCTGAGTTCCGTAAGAAATTTCGCTGAAGATATTCTTAAAAATGAAAAACGACTTGATGTGCTTATAAATAATGCGGGAATATATGCCACTAAATGCACTAAAACTGTTGATGGTCATCTTCTTGATCTACAATCCAACCATTTAGGACCCTTCCTGTTAACAAATCTACTGCTTCCATTGTTAAAGAAAACAGGCTCGAGTCGAATTGTCAACGTTTCATCGATAGCTCACAAGTATGGTAAACTCGATGTCAATGATTTAAATATGGAAAAACAACCATATAGTGGAGGAGCAGCATATGCCAACTCAAAGTTATGTAATGTTTTAATGACGGCTGAATTATCACAACAGTTGAAGGGACATGACGTAACAGCGAACTCATTACACCCAGGCGTAATTGATACTGATATTATACCAAATAGAGAAAAAATATTGATGAAATTATTAAGTTTATTATTCAAACCATATTTTAAAACCAAATGGGAAGGTGCACAGACGAGTATTTACTTGGCGGTGTCCCCTGAGGTGCAAGGTGTTAGCGGATACTATTACAGTGATTGTCAACAGAAGTCTACTTCTAAGTTAGCTCAAGATAGAAATCTGGCTCGCAGACTATGGGAAGTGTCTGAAAAACTTGTGAAAATAAATTAATTTTTCGTATAATACTATTAAAAGATTTTTATTTTACTTCACTTGTTAGTTCTCTTGTTTCCAATTCAATCTTTCTTCTGTTTATAAAATACCTAATTATATCAATGATAAATAAACCTACAAAGAATCAAACTTTGACTTACCGAGACATACCGAGTATCGAATGAATTATGGCATTCTATAATTTCTATCTAATTCAATTACAATTTAGGACCTTTTGCACCATCAGAGTGAAACAACAATATACATACTTACCTTAATCACACTGATGATAGTGCAAAAAGTTCAAACTGTTGTAATAAATTCATAAAAATCTCAATATAAATATCTTATCAATGCTTTATATATGTACATTTCGTACGAGTGTGATACGCTTTAAAAGTGTTCAGTATTATTCAGACCAACACCCACATAGCCCGCTTACAATGTTTTTAATTATTGTTTTATTATTTTTTGTGTTAGTGTTATCTGCTATACTGTACACAAAATTGACATTGGGTATCAATAAATGTAGTAAACATCTTATCGGTAAAGTAGTTATTATAACAGGAGCCAATACTGGAATTGGATATGAAACTGCTAAGGATTTGGCCTACAGAGGGGCTCGAGTCATTTTAGCTTGCCGAAATGAACAACTCGGCCTGGCAGCTCAGAAAGATATCATCGCAGAAACCGCTAATCCAAACATCCAATACCTTCAACTGGATTTGGCATCCTTGAGCTCTGTGAGGAGGTTTGCTGATAACATTCTTAAAAATGAGAAGCAACTTAATATACTCATTAATAATGCTGGTATAATTGGTAGTAAATACAGAAAAACTGAAGATGGTCTTCTACTTGACATGCAATCCAATCATTTGGGGCCCTTCCTCTTGACTTCTTTATTGCTTCCATTATTAAAGACTTCCGGTGCTAGTCGAATTATTAACGTTTCATCTTTAGGATATCAATTTTCTAATTTGGATGTGAATGACTTGAACATGGAAAAGGCACCATACAATAGCAGAATATCGTATGGTAATACAAAATTGTGCAATATACTAATGACAGTGGAATTATCTAACCGCTTAAAAGGCACCGCAGTTACTGCGAACTCTTTGCATCCAGGCGTAGTCGACACTAACATGGCAATTGTAGCAAACAACCAAAGTTTATTGATGAGAATATTTAATTTATTAACACCTTATACTAAAACTAGATGGGAAGGTGCACAAACAACGATTTACTTGGCTGTGTCCCCCGAAGTTGAAGGTGTTAGCGGTAATTATTATAGTGATTGCCGTCAAATATCTACTTCTAAGTTGGCTCAAGATAAGAATCTTGCTCGTAAATTGTGGGAAGTGTCAGAAAGATTAGTAAAAATTAATGATATATAGGTTATACTTTTAATATAGGTTTACTATATATTATTATATAAATTATATTTTAAAGCTTACCATTGTGATTTTTATTGCAATATTAAAAAAATAATGATATTTCGTAATGACAGTGAAAATATCAAAAGGTGTTTTGGTAATGTCTAAAGTCTTATTGTATAAAATATATAATTATTCTACAGAAAATTAAGTTAAAGATAATACGTTTAAAATTATATTAAATTAAATGAATGTATTTATTTAGCTCTCGACGTTTCGACTAGGTTGCACTAGCTGTGGTCATGAGCTGAGGGATCAGTAAATATATTTACGTACCTTTATTTACCATAGAATTATTTGTGTTCAAACCCGTTTAATACTAACCGTACCCGTTTAATAAAAACACGAAAGTTTAAAAATAGATTTTCAATACATATTTACAATACTGCATACCTATTGCGTGCTAATAGGTCCGTTATTAAGTGGGTTGTTCATTTGAAAATTCATCTAATTACATTTTTGCTATGATTCTTTTTAGTAATTTATAAACGTAACATAGATATGTACAATTTTATATCATAATAATAGAATACAATAATTAGAATAGTAGTTACGTAATGAAATGCATAAAAATTCATAAAACCAATTGCGCAAACAATTTCATCGCGGTTACATTACTACCATACGATAAAACAACATTGACACAAATATATCATCTATTATATCATATGTAATATATCACCTTCATTTTTGACTGTGCTTAAATCTGCGTTACGTCACAAGGATGTTCTGATAATAGTTAGTAATCACAATAATAATTGACAATCAATAGTGTATCAAAATACATAGATAAAAGTATATGCCTACATGATGATTGGTTGAAACTTTTAATTGCCAAGAGACATAATGTTTACTCTATTCTATGGATACTATTATAGATCTTTTTGTAAAAGTATAAAATATTCATCTATTGTTTTACGATGGTTTATGAAAAAAATCGATGTGGCCACTTCCATTGAAATCTATAAAATATAAATATATATAAATTCTGGAAACAATTAATTTAAACTCGATAAAAATATGTTATACATAGAAAATCAATCATACAATGGAGGAATAGTATATACTACCAAAAGTGTGTAATGAACATAATTATCTCAATAGATGAATGAACATTAAGAGTTAACTCATTACACTCAGACGTAATAAATACAGAATATAAAAATATAATTAATTTGATTCAAATCTCTAATTTTAGATTAGGATGGATAATGATGGTAAATGTGTTAGTGTACAGACGACAATTTACTCAGCAGTGTCCCCTGAGGTACACGGTGTTAACGACTACTATTACAATGATTGTCAACATAATTAAATAAAAATCTGTTCCTACTCATAAATTAGCTTAAAGCAGATATATGGCTCCCACACTATGACATATGAATGTAAAACATTATGTGTGAAAATGTAAGTAACACTACTAAAATGCTTCATTTGTTAATTTATGTGATACACGTATATGTAGTAATTATAACAATGACTAATAAAACTAGAAGGATGCAAGTCAGCTTGCACGCAGAGTTCCAGTCAATCACTATGACATTGCATGATTTTCTGTATCTACATTATATTGCTAGGTTAAATAAATTTTATTTGGAGTTTTTGCACCATCAGAATGCAAAGTTATTTATACTGTAGTCATAATAAAGTAGGAAGTAATAAATATACATACCGGCTTAGTCATACTGATGCTGCAAAAAGTTGAATTTATTGTAATTAATCTATAAAAAATCTCACATTATCATATAAATATCTTATCAATATTTTATATAAAAATCACGTTTAAACGGTCAGTATTATTCAGGTCAACATCCACATAGCCCGCTTGCGATGTTTTTAATTATTGTTTTATTATTTTTTGTGTTAGTGTTATCTGCTATACTGTACACAAAATTGACATTGGGTATCAATAAATGTAGTAAACATCTTATCGGTAAAGTCGTCATCATAACAGGAGCCAATACGGGAATTGGATACGAAACTGCGAAGGATATGGCCTACAGAGGGGCTCGAGTCATTTTAGCTTGCCGAAATGAACAACGTGGACTGGCAGCTAAGAATGATATCATCGCGGAAACTGGAAATGAAGACGTACACTTCCGTCAACTGGACTTAGCATCCTTGAGCTCCGTAAGGAGATTCGCAGATGATATTCTTAAAAATGAAAAGCAACTCAATATCCTCATTAATAATGCCGGTATGATTGGTAGTAAATATATAAAAACTGAAGATGGTCTTCTGCTTGACATGCAATCCAATCATTTAGGACCGTTTCTTTTAACTTCAATACTGCTTCCATTGTTAAAGAGTACTGGTGCTAGTCGAATTATCAACGTTTCATCGTTAGGACATCAGTTTTCTAAATTGGATGTGAATGACTTGAATATGGAAAAGGTACCATACAATAGCAGAATAGCCTATGGTAATACAAAATTGTGTAATATACTAATGACAGTGGAATTATCTGAACGTTTAAAAGGCACCGGAGTTACTGTTAACTCGTTGCATCCAGGCGCAGTAGACACTGATATCGCACTTGAAGCGAAAAACCATATTCCAGTGTTGAAATGTTTAACTCTATTAACTCCTTTACTCAAAACACTTACAAAAACTAGATGGGAAGGTGCACAAACAACAATTTACTTGGCTGTATCCCCTGAAGTTGAAGGCGTTAGCGGTTACTATTATAGTGATTGCCGACAGAAATCTACTTCTAAAATGGCCCAGGACAGGAATTTAGCTCGCAAATTATGGGAAGTGTCTGAAAGATTTGTAAAAATTAATCCAATATAGATACAATACTTAAATTTTAAATTTTATTTACTATTATAAGGATCATCACCGTGTTTGCGATTATTGTCTGATGTTAAAGTAATTATATGTGTTAGCTGTTATGATTTTTGTGAAAATTATAAAATATACATGTATTTAGTTTTATTTCTTTAGCATTGATTCTCGTACACACATGAAAATAATATTACATATAAAGTATACTGTAAGTAATTTTCTTATAATTGTATAATACAATTTTAGTGGCTAGTGAATGTAACACTTCACAAAAAGAAGAAGAGGACGGTTTATATGTATAATATCTACATTATACCCGTCTGAAGCCGGCACTTGTTGCTAACATTCATATATTTGGTATGTATCGTATATATAAATACATATAATTATTGCATCCAATCATCACAATCTTGTCGTCTGATTCAGCAAACATTAATGAGTCAGCATAGCAGTTATGTAATCATCTGGATAAGAGCAATTCGCAACTACAAGTAAAAACAAATTATCATGGTTACATTATAGATTATCTGTATTGATAACAATATATCGCCGTGATTTATTTCTGGCATGCCTGGCACATTACTAAGACATATTGATAACAGAGAACAAATATTATATGCTACATATACAATTAATGTAATTGAATAAAATATTTTTATTTTCCGTAAAAATTTGTTTGCATGTAATTCTTTATTGTACAAATTATTAACAGATACCTATGTCTTAAAAAAAGGGTACAATAAAAAAATACGCATCGAAAAACAATATATATATACATATAGTACAAGAAGTAAGAGTAAATCTAATAATAATTTTAATAGAGACATAAATAACAACAAAATATAAATACATAAAAAAAAATAAACATACATAAATATAAATTGGAGTATAAAAAGAGTCTCAGTCTCAGAGCATGAAAAGGCGCCTTGTAAGAGTGCTAGTCGAAGTAATATTAATTTTGAAAAAATAGCATGTAAATTTCACTCGTTATTTTTTTGTAGATTTCATTCTACGAAAAAATAATCAGGAAACAATTCACTGACATCTCAGAGTTGTAGAGAAATTTTATTGAAATACTTAGACACTTTAAACTAAGCCTTATTTAGCTGATTATAAGTTATGAACACAAATTAATCACATAACAAATTAATTATATAATTCTTGAATTACACAATGCACCCCAATTCATTTATTAAAAATTTTGTGAATCAGAAATGCTATGTTCATGACAAGTATTCACGAGGATAATAGTAATTGTCTCTTGAACTGTATTTTATGTCCGACGGAGTGTAAAGGATAAAATATAAAGGTATTCGCGTCGCTTTAGCAAACAGTGGCCCATCCGCTCCCAATATCTGCTCGAGAAAATAATAGGAACAGAGGCAAAAGAAAACACTTCGTCTGATATTGAAAATATAATCATGTTTACCGATAAATAAACTACCCATATTTCTATTCTTTTAGCCAATATTAAACATATACGTAGGTGAACCTTATAACACAGAAACTATTAAGCTATGAGTATACACAGCTGTATATCAATTTTCTGACTAATATTCTATATTACTGGGATTGTCACTCCAGGTATCACATCGTGATGTGCTGGCAACAACATCTCCTGGAGTAGTAAGTTTAGAAAGGCTATTAGGATCATCAACAGCTATCGCACCTCGTAATATTGTTACTATATTTTTAAATCGTTCAGTTTTCTTTAAATGTTTTTCTGTTCTTTCTTGCGTTGACATCAGTCTTCGCTGGTCCATTTGAACTCTCCGCACTTTCTTCCTCACTATATTTATATAATAATCTATTTGACGTTGAAAGGTATCTAGGGACCAATAAAACTTTAAGTCAGCAAGAATCATTACCAAAACTGTAGTGTAGATTCCAAGTAAACCTATTCCAAAGTAATATAACTTCGGATCGACAGTGGAAATAAATGGACAGTCATCGTCGAGGGTTAGGCAGCTCCAGAAATATGATGGTGATGTAACGGTATCTTGCATGCGACTCATGCTGACATTATAGTAAACTATTAAACTGAAATTTTATACCATAAATTTGTTACCTACTGACGATCTATTCATTCTGCGTCAATGTTACGTTGACGTTTACTTTTATTTTTTACAGACCAGAATAGGTTATTTCAACAAACAACAACATTAATTAAATTTGTTATTTTTAACAAATATGCTTACAATAGTATTTGCTACTCGCGACTTAATCAGGTTTATTAAGATATATGGCTATACGAATAATATACATCATATTTTCTCAGTACTCGCACAAACGTTCAGCCGTTTTATCATTAAAAAATAGAAAACAGACATATTTATCATATAAGTATGGGTGTATTTGGCGTTAAAAATAAGCTACTTTGAGTAGTAATTAAGTAATGGTTTTTTTACATATAGGTATTACTAAAAATTGAAATACTGTTTACATTTAGACGGATAATCACTTGTTTAAATTTTTGTATTAAATTACTAGGTAAGGAATAAGAAATCTTCTTATTAATATTTTATCAATATTACAGAGTATGAAACAATATATGCACGCAATGTACGAGTTACGACTTGACATCAAGTAGGCCATCAGCTTTAAATTCTAGTAATAACAAATGTTACTAAATAACTGGTAAATAATTATAATAATTACATAGTATAAAACAAAGTCGCTGTCGCTGTCTGTCCCTATGCATGCTTAAATCTTTAAAAGTATGCAACGGATTTTGAAGCGGTTTCTTTTAAGAATGATTTAAGAGTAAAGTTTATATGTGTAATACATGTACACCCGTACGAACTCGGGGTGGGTAGCTAGTTTCAAATAAATAGAACCAAAAAATATCTACATTAGTCTCCGGTTTAAAATTAGTTAAAAAAATAATACATCGAAAATATAATCTTTTCGAAAATTTCAAATCTTGTCATTTATATAAGTTCAAGATGAGTATTACAGTACATAATTAAATGATAAAGTAAAAGTATATCTTTTCGGAAGAATAATTCAAGAAGTAGGTACAAAATACTATAATGATCAGGTAAACCTAAGCCATGTCGAAGACTGACTAAAGCAAATAAAAGTGCACGCCTCCGCTAGCATGCTTCACTTCAAGTTATTGAATTCCCTTGGATGGTGGACGAACTGCATCGTCGTCTCAGAGCCAACAAAGAAATAGCGCAATACTCGAAGCTCAACCTTGCCCGGAAAAGTTTCTGCCTTTTAAACAGTGCTCGAACTACACGACAAACCTCGTCATGGGACATATCTCAGCCGCCATAAAGAACACGAACTTGGCTACATAACTTCATCTACGTTCATAACATACGTGTTGACATGTAAATACTCATTACCAAAATTTAAAAAAATTGAAAAAAAGTTGAGAGTTATTTCACAGCGGAGGAAAAGTGTTTTTTTTTAAACTTCTTTGGTTATGATCTATATGCTGAGGTATCCTGTAGACTGTAGAAACTATCTCTTAAATCAGAGTCACCAATTTATGTGAGTTTTAAATAAGAACCTACCTTGCCGAATTGGAGCCTTACTTCGTATAGATGTAAATTATTAAAAATAGATAATACCACGTTTGATATGTTAAATACGACAATACAAGTATTATAATATTCTGTTATAATATATAATAACCAACATAAATGTTGTAATAAAAATGCATGTACTTAGTGACATGGCATTATAATGTGAGCATATATTGTATAATAATATGTCAAGTCATGTAGGTATTATTTACATTTTACGTTTACAATTTTTTTTACGCTTTTATTGATCTGATTATTTTGTATCTATAATCTGCTATCTATTTTAGAACCAAATAGTCATATTCCTTATCAGTATCACCAAACACTTTTAAAATGGTACCTATATTTGCGTAATAAGAATGGTAAACAATGAAAATTGACCAAATAATGGTAAGTGATAACGATTACATATACATATGTATGAACAGACCTACGGATATCGTTGTCACTAACATTCATAAGACTGCTCAGACGTTGCCATTTCAGAAGTATAAAATATAACGCCTTATATCTTGTAAATTCACTACCTTATCTGACCCTACAAGGGAAACAGCTTACAAAGCTAGTCACTTTGTGGCTGAAATAGGTGAGACTAAGGTACTTACGCAGACGACTTTTTGCGGACTACCTCTGGTAATCTGGCAGCTACCTCAATATATACTACAGTTTATATCTCCTGTCTAATATTGCCTAACTGCTATCTATCTGCATCGTCATAGAAATAAAATTCTACTGAATTTTAAAGCCAATCTTGTTACAGACATCGCGAGTTTCAAATACTGAATAGTAAGTATGTACTACGTTTCCTATACTAACTTTATATGTACTATTCTTAACTATAATATCTACAAACTTTTGCCGACAGAAATTTATAATAGTTTACCAAATAAGAATACGAAGATTTTTATAAAAGTTTCATATTCGCAAGTAGCCAATACGCTACATTCTCGATACAATACTCTTTGAGTACTATTTATATAACTTTTGCTTTTATTACACTATAACTTTTAAAGTACTAAAGTTTTGAATGTAAAAATACTATTGTAAGCTAACACAATATTGATTTATCTTTACTTTACATTCAGTTTGTTACATGTGAATTTTATTGTATAATAGCAGATGCGGCTTGTGATATTGAAAAGCACCAGTCACACAAAATTAACACGTCGTCGTAAATCCAGCGATTTCATGAGCTCATCAAACTGATAACAATCGAGGGAAAATTTCTAATATAAAAGAATATATTGTAATAATATATTTTTATTACTATCAGTCTATACTTAACCACTGGATGTATTCGCAACCCTATACATATTTCGTTGCATATTTTTCAAAACGACGGACGTGGCAAGATGATTCTGCCTAATGAAAATATAAATTGACGAAGTATTTTAATGTCGGCCAGATTTGAACTCCTGACCTTCGATGTCAGGTAAGAAAACAATAAGCATTGATATAACTAAATTAAAA